CCCCAAAACCCCAAAACCCCTTCAATCAAAATAGATCCTCAATTTTATAAGTTAAGGTTATAAATTAAAATAGTTGAATCTATATTTATCAATTATCAATGCATTAAGTATAAAATCATTCTGCAGCTTCTGCTGCTGATCCTATAATCCCCCCTTGGTAATTAAATGATGATGATTTGATTTTATTCCAAAGATTATTGCTCATCATTCTCTTGCCCTAAGCATTTGTTATCATTTGCTGCTAGCCAAAAATCTAGTTCTAAAGATTTCTAACACTCTGGTCTTGAGCAATGTTAGAGTTATTTGAACTGAACCTAGATTATTGCTGCAGTTATTATGATTAGATTGCCTGTTATTAAGTAATGTTAACATTCTATGACTTTCTGTTAAGAAATGCCTTGCTAAAGGATTGATTATCTTTTTAGTCATCTTATTAGTTCTAGTTTGAAGTTAGTAAGCAGCCTATATTGTTGGATGTGGATGCATTTATTTTTGAAATGTTGCTTAGTTGCTATTTTTACTGTGGCTAGCTAACTTAGCTCTTCATCCTAGTATTATGCTTCTCAAGTAATTTTGGTACTAGCTTATTGCCTCCCTGACTCAACTAGTAAAGAGCTTGAGCAGAGTTTGGGGCTATTATATTTTGAGGTAGAAATACTGAATTCTAGGATGAGAAATGATGACTGCTATTTTAAACCGAATTCTTGGCCATACTGATCTAATTAATTTTTGATAAGCTTTATATAGTCTATTGGTTAGTAGTCTGCTAACTGAGTTGACTATTAGGCTAAGCAAGATTAAGATCAAGCTATACTACATTGCATAGTCTTAATTCTTACTGGAACGGATTCGTTATTTAATCAAACGGAATTGAAGGGGTTTAACTGACGTCAATAAAGCTAAAATTCTCTGAGCCGTACTGTTACAAATCAGAAGTAAGCATACCACCCTATATTTTATTCTTCAAAGAGGTCATCTACTAGAACTAGTTGTTTTTCTTGTTAAGCCCTCTCTTTATTTTATGCTTTACAACTCCATAAGTTTTATTCTCAAAATCATTATCTTATTATAAGAAAAAAGGGTCCTCTTGGGTTAGCCCACTAGTGTTTGTGTTGCTTGATAATTCGCCATTATGATTACTGTTAAGTCCAATTCTATTTATTTTCTTAGAAGATTAGTTATGCTCGATATTTCCTGATGAGACATCGTTTCGAAGATTTTTATGCTTCGGCTTCTTTTTGGCTTCATCTTAATTCACACTATTTGTATTAGCATTGTCTTGAAGTAGCTGCTTTAGAGTCTGCTTGTCTTTATTCTTTCCCCCTTTGTTTTAATTACTTAGATTGAATTGCTATTGCTATTCTTGCTTGGTCTATTCTTTGATTTCCTCTAGAGGCTTTCCAATCAGCTGACCCTTCTATGAGGATTAAAGGAAACTACTCTTCTTATCCTAGGTAAGGGCCATAAATTTCTAAGCATGACTGCTAAATGAGGTATTGGGATTCTTCGGAGTCTTCTCTACATAGACAATAGGTTACCTATTAATGGCTGAATTTGAACTTGAATTGTTTCTAGTTGCTTATGATTGGGATTATATCACAAGGGAGGCAGCTGTGTTTTATGAACTTGTTCCGCTATTGGCAGAGGTAGCAGTGTTCATATTAGTATTTGATTGATTTAAGTTCTAAGTGACTAATCTATAATTCGCTGACTAGGAGGTCCTTTATTGTTTAGACCCTTTCTATTATTACTCAGCCTTCATTTGTCTTATAACTTGCGGAGGTAATAGATTGTATTAAATGCACAATTCTCTTTTGAGATTCTGAAATTTATAAAAAGATATTGTTAATTTACAGTCACAGTTTTATATTGACTTGATAGCAGCCGAGTAACAGGATTTTTTTCTATCAAATCTAGTAATGCTAGACAAACTGCTCTGCCTACATCCTCAAATATTTCAATGGTATAACTAGGAGTCTAAATAGTTTGATTTATCAAAAATTTATAATTACCTTATTTTCTTTGTAGATCTTATTGTTTGCATCAGTAATAGGCAACTCAGGCTCGATTTCTCCAGTTGCTACATTTATCTTCGGAGTCAAATGATTGATTCTTCTACCAGTCTAAAAGTTACATTCTAGAGTGTAACAATTAATAAGTCCACAAGCTTTATATAGAGCCACTCTACCACTACCCTCTCTTGAAAGACCACACCCTCTGTCTTTGACAGACATGAGTTTTTCAGCAAATGAACATTCAGCAAAGTCGAAGTTAAGGCAGTTTAATGCAATTAATTTGGCAAACAGCATGTTCTAAGCTTATTCTTCACCTTTTAAGGCGTTACCGAAAATAAAACAGCCCTTTTTAACTGCATGTCCGTGTAAATCCAAATAGATGTGCAGATTACCATATTGGTGTTGTTATAGAATAGCTTATCTAGCAGCATATATAGTAGGTTGGAGTTTTGGATCTGGATCTATGTAAAATCTGTTCAGATTATGATTGTAAGTATCAAGTCTAAAATATCCTCTGTAAACTCCATCAGGATTAAGCAGAGGTATAACTTTAAATACATAGTTTTCTAAGAGAATCTTCGATTACTCTGTGCTATAAAATATTATTGATGGTAAATTGGCTTACTTCGAAACAAGGAAATCTATAATTCCATTCAATACGAATGATGACTACACCTCACCTGGATGTACTCTTGCAGAGAGAACAATACATTTCTTTCCTTCCACTTTATTGCATCTATCATAGGAGAATCAACGTTTGTCATCCTCACTAAATCTATTTTCAGGAAACAGAGTAGGGATACCTTCTTCTCTTTCCTGGGTCTGTACTCCATTCAAACCAGTTATTGTTATAAGTTCAACATTCCTATCCTCTAAGGAGTAGGTGAGTAACTCTCTATGGATGTATATTTAATCTTTAAAGTCCTTGCTGATTTTATCTTAAATCTTATCAAAATATTCTGTAGTTTCAGAGTAAGAGAAGGGATATGTAAAAGCAATATACAATAGTTAGTCATCTCTTTCTTATCCTGAAAAGCTGTGCTCGAAAGTCACACTAGTTCCCTCAGGAGCACTCTAAATATAATAAAGGTTTTATGCTATACAATCCATGAGCACTTTCCATTGCATCTCCTCCATTTTGATTGCATTCCCAATCTATATACAGGTCTTAATCCAGAGGCATATAGTTTTGATTGATGATTCATATTTTTAATGGTGAAAGATAGAACCTGATCTCTGATTGTTCCCTTTACTCCAAAATAGAACCAAGTTCTATGAAAGGAATGAATTTCTAATTATCTGATATAATGCTTACCTGTACCCACAGTTCTTAAAGTAAGGCAAAGAATCAGTTGCAATCCACATATTAAACTACAGTTTAAATTAATTTTGTATTTTTCTTACATTGTTTACTTCATCACCCTCTTCACATCTTGCAAGATTGCCAGAGTCGAAAGCACTGGTAATAGTGATAGACCCGAAATTGAAGGTATTCTGTTACGGATTCATAGTTTTCAGTACTTCGAGAGTGTTAACGTTATCAATCATGCATTGGATCACAGGGTATGATGGTTTCTGCTTTTTGTCTGTGATTTCTTCTGCCTCACTAGATTGATCATTTGATCCTTAATTAGTCATTTATCTCTTGATAGACTGTCTTTTTTATGATTTCATTAGATTATTTTAAGTATTAAGAGCGTTTGTTTTAGAAATTTATTTCTCCATTTAAATTTCCTTATCTAGTTATTATGAATTACCTAATATAAGATTAATATTTTTACCTCGCTCAAATTAATTTATCAACTAATTAGCAAGGGTCTTTACCCTGGGGTTTTGGGGTTTTGGGGTTTTGGGGTTTTGGGGTTTTGGGGTTTTGGGG